GTGCTGGACTCCCACGTGGCCAACTGAGGTTTGAGTCCCGGACCAGGCGGCTTGCTTTCTCACTTTCCTTTTCACTCACTCCCACTCTCATTCTGTCCCTCTCTGGTCAAATTAAAATAAATAAACTTAGGGAACAAGAGTTAGCGTAATGGCTATGTTGCTGGACTCCTGTATAGCTGACCATGGTTCGAGTCCCGGACCTGGTGGCTTAAACTCACACCGGGTGCATGTGTGTGCATGCCCAAGATCCTGAGAGGAGAAGGGATTGCAGATTGCAGCGTAGCCATGCCCCCTGGATGGGGGTGATTTCTCGCTTTCTGTCTCTCTGTCCCTCTCTGTCTTTTTGGCAAGCACACGCGCCCTATAGCAAAAACCTCTCTGAATAAATAAATAAATGAAGTTAAATAAAATAATTCTAAAAAAATAATTATTCTATTTATGATAGGGCACACATGTCCACTCATGGGAAGGAAAGAGAGAGAGAAGCACGGGAGTCTCCACACCACAATCCCCTTGCCCCGAGTCCCCTAGCTAGGCCACGCATGAGTGTCTAATGTGTTTTCAGCCCAACCCAGGGATGCAAACCTGAGTCAGGCTACGTGGCCTCCAGCACGCCACTCCAGTATGCTCCTGACTACCACCGGCCTGGGCCGTCACAGGCCCTAACGCCTGTACTACCCCAGTGCCCATCCCTGCCTCAGCCCCTCTGCAGCAACTGACAGGGCTAGAGCTTTCTCACGGTTCAGTCTTGGGTTCAAATGCTTCATCAGAGAGCCCTGGCCCGATCTGATTACTCCCACGAGAAGAAAGGCCACTGGATGGGGACCAGCAGTTGGCGTAACGGCTGTGTCGATGGACTCCCACGTAGTCGACCATGGTTCGAGTCCCAGACCTGGTGGCTTAAACTCACGCCGGGTGCCCAAGATCTCGAGAGGAGAATGGAGGAGAAGGGATTGTGGTATGGCCATCCCCCCGGGGGGTGATTTCTCGCCTTCTGTCTCTCTGTCTCTGGGTCAAGATGTACCCTGGGGTACTCGGGAGCTAGGGATGTTGAGTTATTTTGTTTTGTTTTGTTTTTAGAGATTTTGCAACTGGGCCCGGTGCGCTGGACAGAGAGAAAAAGCAAGAATCACCCCCAGGGGGGATGGCCCCATTTTCCTCTCGGGATCTTGGGCACGCACGCACACACCCCCGGTGTGAGTTTAAGCCACCGGGTCCGGGACTCGAACCGTGGTCAACTACATGGGAGTCCAGCGACATCGCCATTATGCTAACTGCTGGTCTCTCTCTCTCTGTCTTTCGGGTGAGCGCACGCGCCCTATAGCAAAAAACAAACAAACAAACAAACAAAAAAACCCACAACCCCCCCCCAAAAAAAAAGAAAAAAAGAAAAGCCACTGGATGGCTATTATTATTATGATTTATTTATTATTAGTAGTTTTTGTTTGTTTGTTTTGAGACACATGCGCTGGGACAGAGAGAGTGAGAAGGAACGTAAGAAATCACCCCCCAACTGGGGGCCGGCAGGTAGCATGGTGGTTAACGGCACTGGACTGCCACATGGCCAACCAGCAGTTCAAGTTCCAGACCTGGTGGCTTGCTTTTATCACTCTGCTTCTCTCTCTCTCCCTGTCTGGCCAAATTAAAAGTAAATAAATAAAGTTAAATAAAATAATAATTTAAAAAAAAATCACCCCCCCACCAGGAGGATAGCCACACCGCAATCTCTTCTCCTCCATTCTCCTCTTAGGATTCTGGACACACAGGGACCAGTAGTTGGTGTAATGGTTACGTTGCTGGATTCCTACCGAGTCAGCCATGGTTTGAATCCCAGACCTGGCATATCCTGGGTGTGTGTGTGTGTGTGTCCAAACTCCTGAGAGAAGATTTTGCAGCATGGCCACCCCCCACCCCAGATGTGATTTCTCACTTTCTGTCTCTCTGGTGAGAGCACGTGCCCTATAGCAAAAATCTCTCTAAAAAAAATTATAATAAAAATAGGGACCAGCAGTTAATGGCTATGTCGCTGGACTCCCATGTAGTTGACCGCGGTTCGAATCCCAGAACCCCGGCGGCTTAAACTCACGCCAGGCATGTGTGCATGCGTGCCCAGGATCCCGAGAGGAGAATGAAGGAGAAAGGATTGCGGCGTGGCCATCCCCCCTGGGGGGTGACTTCTTGCTTTCTGTCTCTCTGTCCCTCTCTGTCTTTTTGGCAAGCACACGCGCCCTATAGCAAAAACCTCTCCCCCCAAAATAAATAAATAAATAAAACAGGATGCTCATTGAGGGATAAATGAATAAGTAAGCAGGCCAGTCAGGCTGGGTACTCCTGGGGATGCCATTTCCCCAAGAACTTGGTATTCCTGTCTGTAAAATGAGGATAAACGGGGCCAGCAGGTGGTGTAGTGGTTAAGAGCTGGACTCCCGTGTAGTCGACCACGGTTCGAGTCCCGGACCCGGTGGCTTAAACTCACACCGGGGGTGTGTGCGTGCGTGCCCAAGATCCCGAGAGGAAAATGGGGCCATCCCCCCTGGGGGTGATTCTTGCTTTTTCTCTCTGTCCAGCGCACCGGGCCCAGTTGCAAAATCTCTAAAAACAAAACAAAACAAAATAACTCAACATCCCTAGCTCCCGAGTACCCCAGGGTACATCTTGACCAAAAATTTGAAAGTTCGCCGTTTAACGACAGTGTCGTAAGCGCCTCCCTGACTCCTGTGACTTCCATGGACACGCTCAAACGTGCGGTCCCGTAAACTACTACCGCTGTGAGGTTTGTCATGGGACAACGATTATTCCTCACCGCCTTCTGAACGAGTGCATAGAGAAAAAAGAGCCGCGAGAGGACGAGGGGAAGTTTTTAGAAGAAAAGCGCGACCCCCGGCTACCAGGAAGCGTCCGCCGCCTCCAGGGTCCCCCGCCCCAGCGTGGCCGCACCTTCACCCGCTGCGCTTCATTGATGCATTGCTGATAGCTGCCAATGTAGAAGGCGTTTTTCACGTCGAAAAGCTCATCTACCTCCCCGGAGCCTCCGGGGGTCGGGCCGGGGGCCGGAGGTGCCATATCGCTGTAGTCTCACCCGTCCTCTTCCGGAGAGACACGTCGGCCGGAAGCAGGGGACCCGCCGCAGGGCGAACTGGGAAATGTAGTTCATACGGTCCGTAGCTGGGAAATGAGCCAATGGGAGTAAGGGGGCGGGAGACGCAAGTACGTCTCGCAGGGCATCTTGGGAATTGTAGTTTGATTTGCTCCCGCTAGCCAATGGGATTCGGGGAAACAGGAAAACGTAAGAAATCACCCCCCAACTGGGGGCCGGCAGGTAGCATGGTGGTTAACGGCACTGGACTGCCACATGGCCAACCAGCAGTTCAAGTTCCAGACCTGGTGGCTTGCTTTTATCACTCTGCTTCTCTCTCTCTACCTGTCTGGCCAAATTAAAAGTAAATAAATAAAGTTAAATAAAATAATAATTTAAAAAAAAATCACCCCCCCACCAGGAGGATAGCCACACCGCAATCTCTTCTCCTCCATTCTCCTCTTAGGATTCTGGACACACAGGGACCAGTAGTTGGTGTAATGGTTACGTTGCTGGATTCCTACCGAGTCAGCCATGGTTTGAATCCCAGACCTGGCATATCCTGGGTGTGTGTGTGTGTGTGTCCAAACTCCTGAGAGAAGATTTTGCAGCATGGCCACCCCCCACCCCAGATGTGATTTCTCACTTTCTGTCTCTCTGGTGAGAGCACGTGCCCTATAGCAAAAATCTCTCTAAAAAAAATTATAATAAAAATAGGGACCAGCAGTTAATGGCTATGTCGCTGGACTCCCATGTAGTTGACCGCGGTTCGAATCCCAGAACCCCGGCGGCTTAAACTCACGCCAGGCATGTGTGCATGCGTGCCCAGGATCCCGAGAGGAGAATGAAGGAGAAAGGATTGCGGCGTGGCCATCCCCCCTGGGGGGTGACTTCTTGCTTTCTGTCTCTCTGTCTCTCTCTGTCTGTCTAGTGAACCCATGCACCTTATAGCAAAAACCTCTCCCCCCAAAATAAATAAATAAATAAAACAGGATGCTCATTGAGGGATAAATGAATAAGTAAGCAGGCCAGTCAGGCTGGGTACTCCTGGGGATGCCATTTCCCCAAGAACTTGGTATTCCTGTCTGTAAAATGAGGATAAACGGGGCCAGCAGGTGGTGTAGTGGTTAAGAGCTGGACTCCCGTGTAGTCGACCACGGTTCGAGTCCCGGACCCGGTGGCTTAAACTCACACCGGGGGTGTGTGCGTGCGTGCCCAAGATCCCGAGAGGAAAATGGGGCCATCCCCCCTGGGGGTGATTCTTGCTTTTTCTCTCTGTCCAGCGCACCGGGCCCAGTTGCAAAATCTCTAAAAACAAAACAAAACAAAATAACTCAACATCCCTAGCTCCCGAGTACCCCAGGGTACATCTTGACCAAAAATTTGAAAGTTCGCCGTTTAACGACAGTGTCGTAAGCGCCTCCCTGACTCCTGTGACTTCCATGGACACGCTCAAACGTGCGGTCCCGTAAACTACTACCGCTGTGAGGTTTGTCATGGGACAACGATTATTCCTCACCGCCTTCTGAACGAGTGCATAGAGAAAAAAGAGCCGCGAGAGGACGAGGGGAAGTTTTTAGAAGAAAAGCGCGACCCCCGGCTACCAGGAAGCGTCCGCCGCCTCCAGGGTCCCCCGCCCCAGCGTGGCCGCACCTTCACCCGCTGCGCTTCATTGATGCATTGCTGATAGCTGCCAATGTAGAAGGCGTTTTTCACGTCGAAAAGCTCATCTACCTCCCCGGAGCCTCCGGGGGTCGGGCCGGGGGCCGGAGGTGCCATATCGCTGTAGTCTCACCCGTCCTCTTCCGGAGAGACACGTCGGCCGGAAGCAGGGGACCCGCCGCAGGGCGAACTGGGAAATGTAGTTCATACGGTCCGTAGCTGGGAAATGAGCCAATGGGAGTAAGGGGGCGGGAGACGCAAGTACGTCTCGCAGGGCATCTTGGGAATTGTAGTTTGATTTGCTCCCGCTAGCCAATGGGATTCGGGGAAACAGGACGAGCATGAACTCATGGATGGGAACAACAGAGTGGGCCGGAGAAGGTGGGACCTCACCGGAAGCGGGCCCAATAACCAGTAAGGGGTTCCTGACGTCATCATCACGCGCCGGAAGTGCTGCTTACTCGGAACCCGGCCGCTGATAGCAAGCATGGCTGGTTTCGCGGAGCTCGGGCTGTCATCGTGGCTCGTGGAACAATGTCGGCAGCTGGGTTTGAAACAACCCACGCCAGTGCAACTCGGCTGTATTCCTGCCATCCTGGAAGGTGAGTTTGACTTGACAGCTTCCCGTACAGGCGTCTCCGCTCCTCTCGTCTCCCTTTCTCGCAGACTTTTCCCCGACAAGTCCTACGAGACAAGAGGCAGCCTTGGGCATTACGAGCGATCCTGGGGGACAGACCTTGTTGGAGGCGAGACTTAGGACCCCCTTGCTGCTCGTACGCACACGAGTGCAGGGAGGGTTTGATGAGCGACTAATCGATAATTGTGTGAGAATTTAGCAGGACAGGCGCTACTGTCTTTGTTTTACTTCCGGAAACTGAGGCTGTCAAAATTACTGGCCAATCCAAAATCCGGTAACTATCACTGCTTTTTCTTTTTTATTTTTTGGAGTGGTTTTTGCTATAGGGCGCGTGCGCTCGCCAGAGAGAGAGAGAGACAGACAGAGAGACAGAAAGCGAGAAATCACCCCCCCAGGGGTATGGCCATGTCGCAGTCCTTTCTCCATTCTCCTCTCAGGATCTTGGGCACGCACGCACACCTGCCCTGCGGGAGGTTAAGCCACCAGGTCCGGCACTTGAGCCGTGGTGGACTCCCAGTGGCGGTGGACTACATGGGATTCCTGCAATATAGCCATTATGGCAACTGCTGGTCCCTCTTTTTAAATTTATTTTTAATTATTTAACTTTATTTATTATTACTATTTTACATTTGATCAGAGAGAAACAGAGAGAAAGGGAAAGTGAGAAAGCAAACCACCAGGTCTGGGACTCAAACTGTGGTTGGCCATGAGGGAGTCCAGCACTCCCAACCACCACTCCACTTGCCAGCCCTAAATAATTCTTTAATAAAGAAATGGTGGGGGTGAACCAGCAGTTAGCGTAATGGCTATGTCGCTAGACTCCCACGTAGTTGACCGTGGTTCGAGTCCCGGACCCGGTGGCTTAAACTCACGCCGGGTGCGTGTGCGTGTGTGCCCAAGATCCCGAGAGGAGAACAGAGGAGAAGGGATTGGGGCGTGGCCATCCCCCCTTGGGGGTGATTTCTCACTTTCTGTCTCTCTGTCTCTGTCTGGCGAGCGCACGTGCCCTATAGCAAAAACCTCTCAAAAAAAAAAGAAAAAAGAGAATGAGGGGGACCAACAGGTGGCATGGTGGTTAACGCACCAGACACTCCCATATGTTCAACTAGGGTTCGAGTCCTGGGTGGCGTGCTTTCTTGCTTTCTCTCTGTCTGTCTCTTTCTGGTCAAGTTAAAAGAGATGAATGAGTCAAAAAAATTAAATAATTCTTTAAAAGAAAAAAAAAGAAATGATGAGGTGAGCAGCAGGCATCTTGGGTCAGACGGGTTTGGGTTTCAATCTAGCTTGTTTTACACTGGCTGTGCGTTCTAGGCAAGGGTCAACTCAGTTTTCTCTTCCGTTGAATGGAAACGGCCTTTTCCTCCTCGGATCCATCACGTGCCCGTGATGGGAAGCTGTTATTATACCCCAGGTGGAAAAAGCATAGTTCGGGATTGTCGGGACTTGTACCTGTTGGTTAAGGGTTTGTCGTTGTAAGCCGTGCCTGGGGGAATAGCCGTCTACACATGGAGTGTTGTTGTCTGTTTTCTGCTCAGGCCGGGACTGTTTGGGCTGCGCCAAGACTGGTAGTGGCAAGACAGCGGCCTTTGTCCTGCCCATCCTGCAGAAGCTGTCCGAGGACCCCTACGGCATCTTCTGCCTCGTCCTGACCCCCACCAGGTGAGCCCTCACAGGCCCCATAAGTGAGTTAACCAACTGTAATGTTTGGGGATAAGGATGTTAACCTCTCTGAGCATCAGGTTTCTTTTCTTTTCTTTTTTTTTTAAAAAAATTTATTTAGCTTTTTATTTATTTTTAATTGAACCAGAGAGGAACAGAGTGAGAGCTAGAAAAAGTGAGAGAGGGGCCGGCAGGTGGTGTGGTGGTTAAAGGTGCTGGATTCCCACATGGCTGACTGTGGTTCAAGTCCCGGACCTGGCATCTTGCTTTCTTGCTTTCCCTTTCTCTGTCTCTCTCTCTCTCTGTCTGATCAAATTTAAAAAAAATAATAATAACAGATGCAATTAAATAAATGAATAATTCTTTAAAAAAAAAAAAGTGAGAGAAAGCGAGGAAGCAAGCCACCAGGTCCGGGACTCGAACAGTGGTCGGCGGCTATGCGGGAGTGTCCGGTGCCCTTCACCACTACGCCACCTGCCGGCCCCAGCATCAGGTTTTATTTTGTAATTTTTACGTTATTTGCTATAGGACACATGCACTTGCTATGGGGAGAGACAGAGAGAGAGAGAGAAAGTGAGAAATCACTCCTAGCAGGGATGGTCACATAGCAATCCCTTCTCCCCTGTTCTCCTCTCTGGATTTCGAACATGTAAACACGTAAGCCTAGTGTGATTCCTATGTAATTCCTAAGCTACTGGGTCCGGGATGTGAACTGTGAGGCTGGCCATGTGGGATCCAGTGCCTTAGCCTCCATACTACCTGCTGGCTCACTGCTAGCATTCTTTTTTTTTTTTTTTTATTTGTAAGGTTTTTTTGCCATTGGGCGTGATTGTTCACAGACAGAGATAGAGTGAAAGAGAGAGAGAGAGAGAAAGTGAGAAGTCATTTCATTTCCCAGGAAGATGGCCATGCTGCCGTCTCCTGTCTTCCATTGTCCTCCTGGGTTCTAGATGTGCACACACCTGTGTCCAGTATGTTTTTTTATTTTAATTATTTTATTTAACATTATTTATTTATTTTAATTTGAGCAGAGAGAGAAAGTGAGAAAGCAAGCCGCCAGGTCCAGAGTTTGAACCATGGTTGGCTATGCCAGCCCCATCTGCCAGCACCATTCCTGGTATGATTCTTGATTTATTTTGTGGGGTTTTTTTGTTTGTTTGTTTTTTGTTTTTTGCTATAGGGCGCATGCGCTCGCCGGGAAGACAGACAGAGACAGAGGGACAGAAAGTGAGAAGTCACCCCCCCCCCAGGGGGATGGGCACGCCGCAATCCCTTCTCCTCCATTCTCCTCTCTGGATCTTGGGCATCCACGAATACGCACCCATCATGAGTTTAAGCCACCGGGTCCAGGACTCGAACCGTGGTCAACAACGTGGGAGTCCAGTGACATAGCCATTACGCTAACTGCTGGTCCCCATTTCTGTCTTGAGAGATTTTCACTATATAGCGCGTGCACTCGTGAGAGACAGAGAGACAGAAAGTGAAAAATCACCTCCTGAAGGGATGGCCATGCTGCAGTTCCTTCTCCTCCATTCTCCTCTCAAAATTTTCAGCATGTACACACATGAGTTTTGTGTTTTGTTTTGTTTTGAGGTTTTTTTTTTTTTTTTTTTTTGCTATAGGGTGCATGCGCTTGCCAGACAGACAGAGA